AATCCTTAAATTCATATGCAACCATAAAAGATCCTGACTAGCCAAAACAATCTTGAGCAAAAAGAACAAAGCTAAAGGCATCACAGTCCCTGATTTCAAAATATATTATAAAGCTAATATAATCAAAACAGTATGGTGCTGGCATAAAAATAGACATATTAACTAATAGACCAGGATAGAAAAAAACCCAGAAATAGACCCATGCATTAATAGTCAATTGATTTTTGACAAAGGTGTTAATAATACATAATGGGGAAAAGATAGTCTCTTCAATAAACTACTAGGAAAATTGGATTCACATACAGAAGAATAAAATTGGATCCTTATCTCAAGTACGACAGTCAACTGAAAATGGATTAAAGACTTAAACATAAGATCTGAGACTGTAAAACTACTATAAGAATACCTAGAGGAAAAGCTCCACGACATTAATCTGGGCAATGGTCATTTAGCTATAACCCCAAAAGCACAGGTAATAAGAGCAAAAATAGGCCAGGCACAATGGTTCACGCCTATAGTCTCAACACTTTGGGAGGCCAAGGTGGGTGGATTGCCTGAGGTCAGGAGCTCAACACCAGCCTGGCCAACATGGTGAAATCCTGTCTCTACCAAAAAATACAAAAATTATCTGGGTGTCATTGCACATGCCTGTAATTCCAGCTACTCAGGAGGTTGAGGCAGGAGACTCACTTGAACCTGGGAGATAGAGATTGCAGTGAGCTGAGATCATACCATTGCACTCTAGCATAGGTGACAGAGCAAGAATCCATCTCAAAAATAATTTAAAATAAGGATAAACAAATAAATAAAAGCAAAAACAGACAAACGGGATTTTAGACAAAATACAAGGCTTTTGGACAGCAAAGGAAACAATGAACAACGTGAACAACTAACCCAACAAACATCTGATAAGGGAGTAATATCCACAATAAATAAGAAACTCAAAAAACTCAATAGTCAGAAAACAACCCAATTAGAAAATGGGAAAATCACCTGAAGAGACATTTCTCAAATGAAGACATTCAAATGACCAACAGGTTCAAGAAAAAAATGTTCAGTATCACCAATCATTAGGAAAAACAAATTAAACCACAATGAGATACCACCTTACATCTGTCAGATTAGATGTTATCAAAAAGACAAGAAATAAGTGTTGGTGAGGATGTAGAAAGAAGAAAACCCTTGTACAATGTTGGAAGGAATGTAAACTAGTACAACCACTGTATTGGTCTGTTGTCATGCTGCTAAGAAAGACATACCTGAAACTGGGTAATTTATAAAGAAAAAGACGTTTAATGGACTCCACATGGCTCACAATCATGGTGGAAGGTGAAAGGGGGCAAAGGCACATCTTACAAGGCAGCAGCCAAGAGAGCATGTGCAGGGGAACTGCCCTTCATAAAACCATCATATCTCATGAGACTTATTCACTATCATGAGAACAGCGCGGGAGAAACCACCCCCATGATTCAGTTACCTCCCACCAGGTCTCTCACACGACACATGGGATTATGGGAGCTACAACTCAAGATGAGATTTGGGTGAGGACACAACCAAACCGTATCAACCACTATGAGAAATAGTACAGGGTTTCCTCAAAAAAACTAAAATTAGAACTACTATATGATCTAGCAATCCCACTTCTGGGTATATAACCAAAAGAGATCAATATGTCATATCAATATGTCAAAGAAATATCCGCACTCCCGTGTTTTCTGCAGCACTTTTCACAATAGCCAAGACATGGAATCAACATAAAGGCCCATCAAGGGATGAACAGACAATGAAAATGTGGTGTATATACACAATGGAATAATATTCAGCCTTAAAAGAGAAAAAAGTCCTGTCATTTGGGACAACATAGATAAATCTGGAGGACATTATGCTAAGTGAAATAAGCCAGGCAGGAAAGAAAAATACCGCATGATCTTATTTATACAGGGAGTCGTAAAAAGTCAAACTCACAGAAGCAGAAAGGGCCGGGCACAGGGGCTCACACTCGTAATCCCAGCACTTTGGGAGGTCACGGTAGGAGGATTCCTTGAACACAGGAGTTTAAGACCAGTCCAGGCAAAATAGTGAGACCCTCATCTCTATAAGGAAAAAAATGCTTTTTTATTTGATTTATTTATTTTTTGAGAGGAGTCTCACTTTGTTGCCCAGGCTGGAGTGCAGTGGCACAACCTCAGCTCACTGCAACCTCTGCCTCCCGGATTCAAGCGATTTCCTGTCTCAGCCTCCAGAGTAGCTGGGATTACAGGCACGCATCACCACACCCGCCAAATTTGTATTTTTAGTAGACACAGGGTTTCACCATGCTGGCCAGGCTGGTCTTGAACTCCTGACCTCAGGTGATCCACCTACCTCAGCCTCCCAAAGTACTGGGATTACAGGCATGAGCCACCGCACTTGGCCAAAAAAAGGTTTTTAAAAAGAAGTAGAAAGGAGAATGATGGTTACCAGAGGCTTAGAGGGTAGGGTGGAGAATGAGGGGGAGAGAACGGGAAGTTACTGGTCAAAGGGATACCAAGTTTCAGTAAGACAGGAGGAGTAAGTTTTGCGGTCTGCTGCACAGCAGAGTAACTACAGTCAATAGTATATTGCATCCTTCAACATAGCTAAAAGAGTAAATTTTAAATGAATCACCATAAAAATTGTAAGTAAGTGAGGTGGTAGATATGTTTTTTGGGTTTTGTTTTTGTTTTTGTTTTTCAAGATGGAGTCTGGCTCTGTTGCCCAGGCTGGAGTGCAATAGTGCAATCTCAGCTCACTGCAACCTCCGCCTCCCGGGTTCAGGCGATTCTCCTGCCTCGCTGGGACTAGTCATGCTCCACCATGCCCGGCTAATTTTTTTTGGATTTTTAATACAGATGGGGGTTTCACCATGTTAGCCAGGATGGTCTCAATCTTCTGACCTCGTGATCCCCCCACCTTGGCCTCCTAAAGTGCCAGGATTATAGGTGTGAGCCACCGTACCCGGCCAAGGTGGTAGGTATGTTAATTGGCTTGATTTAATGATTCCACATGTGTACATAGATCAAAACATCACATTGAACCTCAGAAATGTAAATAATTATAATTTGCCCATTTGAAACAATAAAATTTTTAAAGAAAAAATATTTGATGATATATGAAATTCTAGTTACATACAATACAATCCCAATTGTTTAAAATATATTGTTATAAACCTAAGAGCAGATGGTCAGGAACACAGATGCTAGAGTCAGACAGACTTGGGTTTAGTCCCAGGTCTACACTGGTTGCTACTGGAGCTTAGACGAGTCTCTCAGCTCTTCAGTTTCGTTACTTCCTCATCTGAAAAATAACATCTCCCTCACAAGTCATTATGGAGATTAGTGAATGCATATATAACATACTAATCACCACCTCTGGAACACTGCAAGCAGTACATATTGTTACAATGATTGTATCAACATGATAAATTCTTCACATGCTGACGCTGTGGGTAACCAGTTCCCAAGAGATTTGAATACAATGACATTCTCTTCATACCAAATCTGACTGGCCATAACATACTCATGCGGAGATTCAGAAGGCATGTAAGACTACAAGAGGGCTATCAAAATTTTTTTTTTTTTTTTTTT